CATGGAAAGAGGGAGCTGATGAATTTGCAACATTTGCTGAAATTAAATGTGAACGATCCGGTGCTTTCTCATATTACTTTATGGTTGATAATGAAAGGTACAATATATTTTAATTTAAATTAATTCATGTTCAAAGTGAGATTTACACGAGTAATCAAAAAACAATTCATATCAAAATTCATTCAAAGTAAATTTCATACAAGTAATCAAAAAAAAAAAAGATTCATTCCAAAAATTTATCGGATTGTCTAAAATGATTCATTTTAGTAAACCAGCTGGCAATGGATACATTCTTGTAATGCCAGTTTTATTTCTCAATGAACGTCCATTATCTTTAAATGCTGTGACGTGTATCACGCATATCTCCAAACTTCTCGGTACATTGGATACGTGGAAAGAAAAGTTGAAAGTTGCTGCAAAGGCTGAATACAATATGATTCATTTCACACCTGTTCAAGAACTTGGAATTTCAAATAGCGGGTATATCATATGTCATAATTAAAGATAATATTAATTTTTTGATTTTCTTATTTTATATTTTTCATTTTAGCATATTTTTGAAACTTTTTCTTTAACTCAACTTTACCACTGATTAAATTTTGAAAGTTGAAATTCTTAATTTTAAAATTTTGAATTTCTTCTTGTTCCAACTAACTACTGATTATTGTGAAAAAAAAAATTTTTTCAAGCTTAAAGATAGTAATTTATTATTAATACCTTAATTCCATCATTTTCCGGCTTTGTAAAATTTTCAAAAAGTTTAATTTGAAATCATTGATTTGTCTGTTTAGCTATTGCATTGCTGATCCAATGCAATTGAATCCGAACTTTAGCACCACCGTAAGTTTTGTTCAGTTTAAAAATTTACTATTTTGGGAAGCACTTATCAATAATAATTTATTTTATACAAAGCTACTATCATTTTTTCTGATGATAATTTTTCCAATAAAATTTATTATTTCAAATTAAAATTTTTTCCCAACTAGCAAGCATAAATTTTGAATAGTTTTAATTAACTTTAAATAATTTATTTGAACAGGAAGTTAACTAATTATTTCAAATTTAAATTTGAATAGGAAAAGCAGTATACATATGATGATTTGGCAATATTGATCGAAAGCCTTGAAAAAGATTATCATTTATTATCGATGCAAGATGTTGTATGGAATCATGCAGCTCGAAATGCCTCATGGCTTTTAGTAAGTTATACCACTTATTATGTTTTGTTATCAAATGGAAATTGAATTTATTATTAATAACAATATAAGCATGATTTTATGCTTTTTAATTTAATTTATATTACACAAATAAAATCTGTAAATAAGTGATAATTTATTAATTATTCCAACGTATGCATTATTTTATGTTATTAATTTAATTTGTATTATGCAAAAAATAATCCATAAATTGATTATTCATTAATGACAGTTCTTTAGGAGCATCCACAATGCGCTTATAATTTAAAAAATAGTCCACATTTACGGCCAGCATATATCCTTGATCGTCTATTATATCATTTTGGTATCGATATTATGAATGGAAAATATAAAGATCGAAATCTTAACAAGGAAATTAATACTGATGAACATTTAAGAGTATGTTAGTGTTATTAATTGCTTTAACAATATGTAGAAAAGTTTAGTATTTAAATGAATAATATGGTTAAATTTGAAATTTGCATAATACCATTTGATTTATGATATACTTTTTAGATGTAGTAAATACAGCGATATTCTATGCATACCTGATATTAATGTAATATTGGAAAAAGGATTCATATAATATTTTCATCACTGAATTAAATTAATTGAATAAAAATAAAAAAGTCAATTAAATGATTTGAATCATTCTAATTAATTACTTTTATTTTTAAAGACTATTCTCGATATTTTGCGCAATGAAATCTTACCACAATTACGACTTCATGAATTCTTCCAAGTTGATATCGAGAAATTGGTGGCAAATTTTGAAAAATATGTAAAAGGTATTGAATTTCAAATTATGAATTATTCAAATTAATAGATAATTTGAAGGAAATGGCATGAAATTCAAGTCGACACATAAATATTTCCAATATGATCATATTGCACATACAGTAAATTACCTCCTGAAATTCTTTTTTTTTTTCAAGTTTTCACTAAATTAATTGACTTCACTGAAAATAATATTTAGAAGGACCGTCATCTGAAATACGCGACGAAATGTTGGAATCAAAACCGGGACCATATTGGAATCGTTTTGGCTTTACTGTTGATATGAATCATGCAAATAAAATTTTTAATCGAAAAAGGTATTGAATATCAAATTAAAGTTTTTTAATCCTTAGTTATCCAAAAATTTCGAATCAAAAGTTCAGGTTAGCTTAAATTAAAATTTTGTTTTTATTTTAATATTAAAGAAGCGATGCTTATGATGAAGGAGACAGAGAACGGAAATGTTTGGAAGCATTTCGAGCACATCTTCAATTCCTGAATCAAAGAGCATTGGAAACGAGTGCAGAAATTTATGAAAATGTTTTGCAAGCATGTGCCGGACATATTAGCTATGAACGAATTGACCATTCGGGACCGCGACGACCCGAACTAACCGAAGAGTGTTGTCTTGTTACACAGTAAGTAAATATCACCCGTTGCACCATATTGGTCAATTCAATCAAAGTTTTTATAAATTTCAAATTTTCTTTTCTTTCTTTTTATTTAATATAGGATCAACTTAGTCTACTTAAAATCTTTTACTAAATTAATATAATTTCACCATACATGAAATAACCGGATAAATTATGTGATTATAAATTTTAGTAAAATAAAATTACTTATTAAAAATATAAAAAATATTACGCAAAAATTTAATCCTTTTCAACTTGCTGTTTCATTTTTGCATATAAAATTGAAAATCATGCTACCGCAATTTCCCGATAAATGATTAATTAGCTGAAAGCTATTCTGCGGTATACTTAAGCAATTTAAGTTTAATACAATAAAGAAACACTTTAGACGTGAACGTGCATTAAACTGATATTATATCAACAAATATTAATTTCTCTTCTTGCTATACTCATATATAATTTTCTTTTCAGATACTTTTTGCAACCATTTCCATCACTGACTACATGGAAAGATGAGGAAAAATTTGCATACGATGATGATAAAGTGGAAAAAATAATGGCATTTAATGGATGGGTTATGAATGATAATCCATTACATAATTTTGCACATTATCCATCGCAGGTATAATAAAAAAATTGCTTGATTTAAATTTATTTTATAAAATTACAAATTTTAATGCAACATTTGTATAAATAAATTTGATAGCTTACATCATGTATTTTTTTTCTGCTTTAAGAATATGCATCCGTTTTCTGATGAATATACTAATAGCTATCTCCAAATATATTTAAGCAATTCATCCGATGACTCCATAATATTCATACCAACATTAAATCGTGATAATTCATAAAATTACATTTTAAAAATATTCCATTTTGCGGATAATTTATGAAGTCCATCTCATTTCTTGAATGCTTTAATTTAATAAAATAAAATATTGAAAAAATTAATTTGTATTTAAAATTTTTAGTTTTAATTTACAAAATATTACTCTGTCTTTGTTAAAGTGTTTTTAATTCTCGAATACAGCGATTTTTCTATTATAGGTCTACTTGATGAGACATTTGGTTTGTTGGGGAGATTGTATTAAACTGAATTATGGTGAAAAACCGGAAGATTGTCCGTATTTGTGGGATTTAATGAAGAGATATACGTAAATTTTTCGTTTGAATTTCCGTTTATTTTTTATTATTATTCAAATGACAAAATTCTTTCACATTTTATTGTTTTTTAAAAAATCATGATTGCATAAAATAACAAAATCTTTCACGTTTTACTCTCTTTTGGTATGATTATAATTGTGTGATTACGATTTTCGTTGACGAAAATCATAATTACATGATCATTTTAAGACTGGACAAAGACATAACCTAGAATTAAATAGCCAGTGCAATAACAGTAATATTATCATGTAATAATCAAATAGCATCATGTCATTATCATAATTGGCAAAAAATGCTTACCAACATCAATTAAAAATTGAAATTAAAAAAAGAAATTTTAATCGTATTAAAATTTAGAACTATCGCAGAATAAAATATAATGATAGTATAATAGTAAAAAAATAAGGAAATTTTTATATGCTTAATTGGATTTTAATTTCGAATTAATCAATTAATGTGATTAAATATTCTTCATTTAAGTCAACGATGCGCAAAGATATTCCACGGTTTACGTATTGATAATTGTCACAGTACACCAATACATGTTGCTGAGGTATATGTTTAAATGTTTTCAAAATTTTTTTCCAATTATAAAAATTAATTTGTACAATATTACTACTACCAAATATTATAGCAAATATTACTGTAATTCTTTTTTTAGTACCTTCTAAAAGCTGCTCGTGAAATACGACCAGATATCTATGTGACAGCAGAACTTTTTACACAAAGTGAAAGTTTGGATAATATTTTTGTGAATCGACTTGGAATAACTTCTTTAATAAGAGGTAATTATTTAATATTTTAGCATTAACATTTCCTATTTAAATTATTTTAAATTTTCAAACTTAATTTTTACATTTTGATTTTTTTTTTTTAGAAGCTCAAAATGCTCCAATAAGTTATGAACAAGGTCGTTTAATTTATCGATTTGGTGGTGATATATTAGGTGGATTCATTCAAAAAACAATTCAAGATGCAACATCTTGTGTAGCGCCAGCTTTATTCTTCGATCAAACACATGATAATCCTCCAGCTCTCGAGGTATTTATTTATCATCCGCTCTTTTCCTTTGATTAATATTGCAATTAATTAATTCAGTGATCAGTTGATCCTTATTGATGTCGCATAATTTGATTTGTTAGAAGTAAAATAATTTGAAATTAAAATGCACTCTTCATATTTTACATAAAAATAATTAATTTTGGAATTTTTTCCGATTATATATATTCAAATTTCATACATGAAGTGATTTGATTATTTTTCATATTTATTTATGTGAATTTAAGAATATTAGTAATATTCAATGATTTTTTTTTTTAAAATATATTTTATACAAATAATTGTAGAAACGTTCCGTTTATGATTACGTTCCAACCGCAGCAATGTTAGCAATGGCAAATTGTGGTATTGGTAGTGTTCGGGGATATGATGAGCTTGTTCCTTATAAGGTAAATAAATGGAGTGGTATCATCAGTTAAATGATAATCTGTTTGATAAACAATTCTATCAAATAGGTTCGATTATTTTAATAACTTTTGAATATAGTCCTCAATCTTAAAAAAAAAAATTCATGATGATTTAATTGCAAATAAAAGATATTTTCTTCATTCTCGATTCTTTTTTCTATCAGTTATCGTATTGTATTAAATGATAATAATAATATTCTAATAATATTTAAACTTATTAAAATATGCTAAATTTTAGATAGATGTTGTTAGCGAAACACGTAATTATACAAAATGGAATGAAATAAGTCAATCACCTGCTATTATACCAGCACGTGCTGCACTAAATAGATTACATATTTGGCTTGCGGAACATAATTATACTCAAGTATTCATCCAATTATTTAACAATTTATTATAATTTGAAATCATTTCAAGAAAAAAAAAAAACGGAATGAATGATAATTGATGAATTAATTACTTCTCATAATTTTAGATTTATGTTGATCAACGAACATCGGATATTGTAGCATTGACACGACATAATCCGATAACTCATGAGAAAGTTATCATGCTTGCATATACAGCATTCAATAGAGATGCTATTTGTTATGATTGTCCAGCAATTGATGATTTAATATTTACTGGTGACAAAAATTTTTAATCAAAATCATTTAATTTTTCCAAAAAGATATCATTATTTAAAATTGTCAATATTTTTAACAGTAAATGAATTTAAACAAAAAATGATTTAACAACAGATAGCAGTATTATAGAAGTTTATTCCGGAAATCTTCACAGTAGAATAATCATTGATGTTAGAGAAAAATGCACTGCAATGAAACTATTCTGTTCGTTATGCTTTGATATTATTTTCCATAATTAACTTAAAATGCAATTTTAGGTTTGCTTGATGAAATTCTGTTAGAAATCGAATTTCACTATACGTTTAAAGGAAATCCAGGTATAATGTCGCGTATTTTGTGGAAAAAAAATTATCAAAATTATTCGAAATTTAAAATTTTAGTAAATAAATTTACAGAAAGTGCAGATAAAATTGTTGGTTTAAATGGTGCTAAAGTTGAAATTCAAGAGCATCTGAAGAAAAATAATTCAAAATTGGCAGTAATCGAACAATATGAAACAAATGGCAAACTTCACCTCAAACATTTTCCTTCCGGTTCAGTTATTGTGATAAAGTAAGCTAACTTACCGTTAATTAATTGATGGCAATGATAAGCAGATCAAACCAGACCAGATGAGTTATGAAAAATCAAAAAAAAATCATTTTATTGAGTTAAAATAAATAAATTGGTGGAAATAAAAGAAGTAAATTGATATATTAAAATTTATGTGAAATTTTTTGATTATATGCTCAAATCATTTGCTCAATAGATGAATTTATTTCATATTATTAATAAGCGTAAATTTTAAATGTTGACATTTAAAATAAAATACGAGTTAAAATTTGTAATTTGAAATTAAAAATTCTAACAGGGTATCACCAATTAAGAAAGCAACAGAAGCAATCAAATTGATTCGAGATTATTTATCCGGAGAGAATGATTTCATAAAAACCTGTAAGTGTATCCATTAACAATGATCTGTCAGTCAAAATATATTATATGTTAATAATAATATGCTAAAAATTTCTATTAATAAAATTTCCAATCATTTAATCTAAAAATTTTTCAATAAGAGAAGTTTACATAATTTATTGTATAAATTGCATTGGCAGAGAATAAGTTAATGATGGTATGAATTCTGTATGAAGTTTATCGCTTAACTTTATATTTGTAGTTTTTGTGAATGCATTAAACCAATCAACCTTGCAAACTTACAATGTGCTTCTATTCCGATGTGCTGCAGAAGATTTGGATGATTTCGGATCAAACGCTTACAATGTACCTAATTGGAAAATATTAGATTATTGTGGTTTACAAGGTCAATTTTATTAAATTGTAAAATTTCTACTATTAAAACAAAAAGTTTGAAATTCGTGTTAATGCAACATTCTAAACTTTAGGAATAAATGATATGTTAAGATGACAATGAATTTTCAAAAGTTTCACCACGCTATCAACAAACGTTAAGAATTACCTAACAAAAGCTAGTAATTAACTGTTCACATGGAAATAATTCGATACCAAAAATTAGCCACTGCAATCCGATCATTTGAATAAATCCTTATATCGAAATTATGCACTAAATATATTTATGTGCATATCGATTTTCGGAAAATTTTTTTTTCCATTAGACAATTATTAAAAGGAAATTCATAAATAATAAAAACAATAATAATCATAATAAACAAATAGGGATAATTAAATAATAAATAACAGATAGCAAGTAGTTAATAAATAATAACAGCAATAATAGTAACAGTTTAATGAAAAAAAAGGTGCTAGAAAGAGAACAACTTTCATTTCAGGACTATTACCCTATCTAAATGACATCCGGTCTCATAATGACCTTGGCCATCCGATATGTCAAAATTTACGTGATGGTTTATGGCTTTGTGGTTACATTTATCATAGGCTCAGGAATAATAATCCAGTGCTAGCGGAAATTGCTCGTATCATTCGAATTTTATTTTTGCCACTTCGTGAAGTGCCATATGATTTAAGGCCTTGCTATTTTGAAGCATTATTTTCGCTAATTTATAAAACAACATTGGAACAATTGATGGAAAAATTAAGTCGGTCAGTTTTTTCTTCTTGCTATTTTATTTACGCAATATCTAAGCATTGTTAATTATATAAAAAGTTGAATGATTTTTTTTTTTTTTTGTTTTGCAAAATGAATGATTTAATCCGGTCTTCCCGAAAATACTCGTTATCTTTTAATAATCATTTCAATATAGCTCTACATATTGATTATCGAACAAATCCACTGTAATTCTGTTTACATTCATTTATTAGTTCAAGGATTTTCTTTAATTAATTGTACAACGGTATTATAGACCATTTGCAACAGCATCGGAATATGTTCAATCGTTAGCGCTCTCTTCGGTGTCCTTCCTTGGAGCAGTCAAAAACGCCAGATTAGCATTATTACCGGAAGGATATAAAACAGAAGATGAGCAACCTTCATCACTTTCCGCTGGTTTACCACATTTCTCGACCGGATTTTGGAGGAATTGGGGACGTGACACATTCATCGCATTACCTGGTTGCTGTCTCGTTACCGGCCGATTTCAGGATGCACGGTAAATATCCTTTCGTATATACTATACTTATTCGAGTATAATTTGATCCTTCATATGTTTAATTAATATGAATTATAATATCTAGCTATTGTATAATGAAATCGATTAATTTAATTTAATTTAATTTAATTTAGGGAAACAAAATTAATAAGATATCAATTCATATTTTGTCGGATATTACTGCGAGAAAAAATTTATCCTTCATGAGTGTACCAATACCGTAACAGGATATATTAAAGTTTTGAATAAATTAAATAAAATGCTAAATTAATTAAATAATTAAATGATTAACTCAATGATAAAAATGCTTAGAAAACAAAGCATTTAATTCCAAAGTATTAATTAGAATAAATGAAACTAAATAAAATAGAAAATTTAAGTCAAAATAATGATCGATGATTGAAGTTTAGGACAAAATTGCTAATTGAATACCGTAACGAGACATTTATGATAATGTGTTCCATAATGGAAAAATATTATAGAAATTTAATTCTGGCATACGGTGGTGCAATGAGACATGGATTAATACCGAATCTTTTGGATGGAGGATACGGTGCACGTTATAATGCGCGTGATGCTGTTTGGTTCTGGTTGTATGCTATCGTGAAATATATTGAAATGGTACCAAATGGTACTGAAATTCTTAAAGATAAAGTACTGCGTATATTCATTCACGACGATACAGTTTATGGACATGACTTAACTGTAAGTAAATTAATTAACTGATTAATTAATATTGTTGTGTATTTGCATACTTTAAAGAATATATATATTGCATATTTTTTACATAAATAATTCGAGTAATTTTATTTTCAAAAATATTTAGAATTGATTTTAGGAACAATATCTTGCTGATACAGTACAAGAAGCACTTATGCGACACTTCAATGGAATTGAATTTGTAGAGCGTAATGCTGGCCCTGAAATTGATGAACATATGCAAGAATCAGGCAAATATTTCAAGAAATTTTAAATTTTACGAAATTTGTTTTTCAAAAAAGAAATAATGAAATGAAGGATGAGAAAGGCCTAAATTGGATGCATTTAACTTAGGCCTTTCTCTTTTTTTCGTTATTGAATTTAAATCATATATTCACAATGGCTCAGTTATTTTTAGGCTTTCATGTAAAAGCATACGTTGATCACAGTACGGGTTTTATATATGGTGGCAATCTATACAATTGCGGTACATGGATGGATAAGATGGGAAGTTCCGAAAAGGCTGGTAATAAAGGTTGGCCAGCAACACCTCGAGATGGTGCTGCTGTTGAATTGCAAGGCCTTTGTTTCGCAGTGATTGAAAAATTAGAGGAACTGTATCGGAAAAAACTCTATCCATACGAGGGTGTTTTTACTGGTTTGTATTAAAATTTTTATGATTTTAACAAAATTTTATGAAATTTAGCATTTCCTTGAAATTTCTGAAAATTAACGCCTCTGAAATACCGCAAGTAATAATTGAATCAATGTTTAGCATAGATAAATTTATAGAAAATAAAGAAATATGGACATGGCAAAAATGGGCGTGTATTCTGAAAAACAATTTCGAATGCTTTTTTTATGTGACTGATGATGATTCATCACAATATGTAAACAGACGTGGCATAATTAAGGATACGTATGGTTCCACGCAAGGTTATACGGATTATCAATTAAGACCAAACTTCTCGATTACATTATCTGTGGTAAGTTTGCTTTGGTAATAGATTCAAAAATTTAATACATTTTCGATATAGTTTTCAAAATTTTAAATTAAAATTTAAAGTAGAAAGATTTTAAAGATTAATAAATTTAAAATGCAATAAAAAAATTATTTCATCAAAAATTCCAGCATTTTAGGCTCCAAGATTGATGAATTCAGAAAAAGCTTGGCGTGCACTGCAAATTGCAGAAAAGGAATTACTCGGACCATTGGGTATTAAAACTCTTGATCCAAGGTAATATCCTAGGCTCAGTAATATAAATCTCACAGATAACATTTTAATCACATTTACCAAGGCTCTTGATCAGTAAATCCAACAGATAACATTTATCACATCTATCAAGGCTCTTGATCAAGGATCTATCTGTGCCCGACTCACAGCACTAAGTACTAACTGATAAGAATAATATAACACAATTGTTGGAAAATCATTAAAATTTAAAAAATAAACAAAATTCATTAAATTGCTTTTTTAGTGACTATAATTATTGTCCATTCTACAATCAAGATGATGATAGCATGGAAAAGAAGATAGCTCGAGGCTGGAGCTATCATCAAGGACCGGTTTGTCCCCAATTATACATTTCAATGTGAAATATCCTCTTTCAGTTTTAAAGTTTAAATTTGAACTGTATTTTACACTGAAACATTGAGAATTTAATTCAAAAAATTTTCACATTTTATTTCTACTTTTTTCTTTTGTATAAAGAAAATTAACGTACTTTTGAAAATTTATGCTTTTTTTGGAATGAACAATTTAAGGAATGGCTATGGGTGGGAATGTTTTTCTATCGAGCAAAATTAGCCATAGCAAAAGTGATCAGTGAAGAAAAGAATGATGCGGAATTTTACGAGAAAGCTAAACGATTCGTACGATCACGAATGGGTGCTTATTGGGAGCATTTGAAGTCTTCAAATTGGGCATCACTTCCTGAATTAACCAATGCAAATGGATCACCGTGTTATCATTCATGTGGTGCACAAGCATGGAGTATTGGTTGTATGTTGGAAACGGTTGATGAGTTATATGAATTACACAAAATTTGAAATATTAGCTTTAGATTTTTTATAGAATTTTGTCAATTCTTTGAGGGATATTTAATGACATTATGATGGTTTTTCTCTGCTAAAAGGAATCCATTCAAAAAATTTCACCATCCAATTTCTTAAATTTTAAAATTTGTAAAATGAAAATTTGAATGATTCTTTTATAATAGCAAAAAAAGATAAGCTAGATGTGATTCTCCTTAAAAATTCTAAATTTTTATGCTCGCAATTAATCATCAGAAAGCTCCCCCAATTATTTTTATTAGTGTTTCACTATTTATTCTTGACGAGTTGTGGAATTTTCTGAAATAGGCCACATATGTGCTAATTAATCACCTTTACTAATATATGAAATTCATTTTCTGGTCTTTTTTATCTCTCGTATTACACTATATTAGGCTATCATATAGGCGCAGTAATTCTTAGTAATCTATTTCCTTACTGTGAATGTCTGAGTTAAGAAAACATACTGTTGTACAAAACTCTTAAAACATCTTCAGTTGATCGTAGCACCTGCAATAATGGAATTCCATTCTATTCTAGTGGATTATTCCTAAATAAGTTCATGCTTTACAATGCTGGACCACAAGCAAATTATACCAAATAGTTCACATAATCATAATAAATTTGAAAAAATCCTCAATTCCCAAGATGAAATACATTTTGAAGTTTTGAAATTCTTTTTAAAGTTTGGAAGCAACTCAAACTATTGTTGCTATATAAATTTAGAAGGTTGATTAGAAACTCTAATTCTGCATTGCAAAAGTTATGTTATGCAAGTTAGCCGCATTATTCGCAAATTTCTTGATATATGATCGAGTTAAATGCGAATGCATTTAATGCAAATTTATAACTGAAACAAATAATAAAGCCAATATGCACCAAGCAATTATTTTTCCTACTGAATCTTACATAAGATAAATGTCAAAAAAAAATACATAAAGAATATAGGCAGTTCAACAGTTATTAAGTTTTCTGTATACATTTCGATTTTCATGGAAATCCAAAATATTTTCCTTCAGGAAAATCAAATCATTTGATTACAAATCTCCAACACTGTTATTTTCATCTATATAATATTGTACTGAGTCAGTATTCTTTCTATAATCGCCAGAATTAAAATGATTCCAATAACACCTTGAAGAATAGAAAAAAACTATTTAGGGAATCAAACAATTTTGTTAGAAAGAAAAAATCCAAGAGATAAGTATCGCAAAGAAACGTAGTACATATCTGTTTTTGCTTGAAAAAGTTCTGGAGATCACTGATTATTTCTGCAATCTACTTCAATGTCATTTGAAAATGAGTTTTAAAAAGTATATGACATCAATTACATATGATAATTAAATAATCACTCTTATTATATTACAATCCTTACGGTAAAATGGTACGTGTTTGCTAAATCATAAAAGCTACTTATTCATGTTAAACAAGTAAATAATTGCGAAATAATCCACTAGCACCCAGAAAGTAGGGAAAGAGGCTATTTCGAAAATAAAACATTTGAAAGAAAAAAACAGTAAAATGATATCAGATAATATATTTCACCGATTTGCTTGTTCGCATGCATCGATCCAATCCGAATAGACATCAATTGGTTCAGATAAATAATTGATATTCGTCTGGAAGTCCTCAAGGCATACTCGACATGAAATAAAGCCTACATTTCGTTCACGATCCCTAAAAAAGGAAAAAATTACGAGCAATGCTTGAGTTTACGAGTTTTAAGTTTTTGAAGGTAATATCAAACTGAACTGTAATCGTTGAAAGCACCGATAACAAATGAGATTTGCAATAAGTTAAAATACGTAACCGAATTAGTGAAATGTAATATATGATTCAACATCCTAAATGGTTTTATTCTATGTGGTACTAATTGTAATTTTTAGGCGCATCAACTGCAGTGAAAATTCTCTTGAAAAACAATTTGAAAATCTTCCTTCTGCCTTATTGAAAAGCCAAGCCTCCCTACAAGCTATTCCATAAATTCTTTTTTAGATCGATTTCAAGCTTGCATTTAAAAGATATGATGATTCACCGAGAGAAACTTAACGATTCAATGACCAAATTTTGAAATAAATTTCTGTACAAGAGCAGATCATAGGACTTAAATTACGATTACATATTCTTGAATAGAAACACAACTTCGACTGTCTTTTTTTCAGTTAAAACCAGAAAAACACACAGAAATTATTTCAGTCGCTCTGTGCCCTATCCAAATACTTTACACAGAAACATCCAAAACTTACATGTTTTGAAATCAGCTTATTATCATAATAAATATTTAAGATTGGAATTTCTAAAGTAAGCGACGTACATTTTCACTTCACACACTCTTTCGTGATTACAGAATGGACAATTGAATTGCGTCTCCAATGGTACAATTGATTTCACTTTTGGTGGTGGCTTACGCTTCACTTTACGTTTTCCCATTTCAATATCCTAAATTAATAACAATAATCATAATGTGACTGCAAACTATAAATATTCGTTGTAACCAATACATTTTTGCAGTTAGTAGAATACATGTACTAAAAGTGCATGTATTCCACTAACTGCAAATTTCACGTAACCGCAAATTTCGCATACACCATAGGAGTATAAGCATAAACAACCGCATCTTACACAATGCATTCACTCACCATAACATTTCAAATCGTCTAAAGCCAACGAGCATTCCAAGCAAAAACAAAAGAAGTGTATCTCATTTTAACATGGCCCTTGAATGAAATCTATGCATTGCAATGTACCCATCGGGCAACCATGCAAATGTCTCCATAAATTTATTATCATTAAATGATAGTTATTGATCTTTCATAAAATTTTCCTGACCGGTAGTAATAACAAGACGACAGCAACTAAAGAAACAACAAAATGTAAAATTTGTAAAACTTATAAAGAAATGTTCAAAAGTTAATCACTTCCCCGCCAATTTGTTTTTTTTTTTTAATTAAAAGTATTTGGAAGTAATGAATTTGGAAAAATCACAATAAATCTTTGAAATATTATAGCAAAAGATTTTTCACACTTCTAAATATTAATAAAAGTTGCAAAATATTGCCATACCATAGTGAAAGCACCTAAAATTTTGTCTTCCCGAGAATCACTCCTACACTTCTCTTAAATTTCATAATTCAGTTAATAATCAATAGTGATTCATTTGAGTTATTCAAAAATTTCGTTACAATGCAAATTTTCTATTCATTTCTGGATGTACAAAGCAACAAATTTATTGCCTTCAAGAACATGGACTAGATCTCTCTGTATTATGAATATCGAAAAAAATATCTGAAATGCAAAAAAAAACCTAAAATTCTGAAGAAAACAAAAAAAGAAAAAGTTGGGGTCCGACCCAAGAAAAGTTAAAAGATCTATGCTGAAATAGGAATGAAATGGATGGATGGGGTGCAAAGAGCAGATATCATCATGAACTCTTGAAGATGACATATATTGTCTTCAGCATAAGTTATACAGATATTCGCGAATATGCTATAATATAATTATGAGGATTTTATGGTTTATCTTACCCTGATCTAATGTGTGCAAAATCATATTATATAATCGAATACTAGGATATAAACGTTAGTACATAAAAATTGTGCATTATTAATATTTAAGTCAGTACATATATACATATTATGAAATCAACAATTACAACAGTATACGAATTTCTTTAATTACAGAACAGATAATATTATATACAGAACAGATAATTATTTATGCGAATCTTAATCACATTTGATGAAGACATGTGGAATGACTTCATTATTAATACCCGTAACTTAGTCAAGTGATATGTAATTATATCCAAGCTTCGCATTATACTTCGTGGTACTCCCAATTTAATATCCTAATTTTCTACTTTCTTCTCTTCTAGAAGACAGATCATTGGATTTGTAAAAAAGAGAAAGAAGTTTCGTTGACAATCGAAGCTAGAACACAAAACGACTTAATTCTTTCAAAATACTGTGTAAACGAACAGCGAGCACAATATTACTTAAATATACCACAATGAGATCGACTTTAAAAATGAAATATAATTTATTCTTTGAAAAATATGCTGAAAGCATATCTGAAATTCTAAAATGCAGATGAAGTACAAAGAACGAGATGCTTATTATCTACTATTTCTAACTATACATTCCAGTATAACTAATTTCTTGAGAAATATGCTGAAAAAATATTTCAAATTTCTAAATAACATAATTCCGACAACTAATTCAATCCTATTAACAATAACAACGTAAGAATTCGTTAGTTAGAAATAGATCGTGAGAAATGAAATTTCGGTATAAAAATGTTGCAATTGCTAATATAAGTGCCCCTTAAGAAGATGAACTGCTCACCGAGAGCTTCGGCTAATTCTATGAGTGACACATGCTTTTCAATGAATTTCAAAAATGTATCTGCATTTTCAGCATAACTCAGCAATTCTTCCATGAAATCACCATCATTAGCCTGCAATGATAATTAGGCCTACTAGACATAATTAGCTAGTTTTTTGTTCTCGAATTTAAGTTTGGAGTAATTTCTCCCAGCTTTTTTATCGAATTGAAATTTAGGACATGATTTTTTATCCATATAAATAAGACTAGAAATAAATTAAAAAGGGATTACATTAATCAATTTACGCAATGTGTTTACGGTGACGTTTTCCCGCGATTTTTTATCAATATAACGAAGAAATTTGAGCATTTCGCTACGAAATGTGTAGCTTCTCATCCAAACACGATCTTCTAATATTTCGTAGAGATGCGAACGGACAATGATGAAATCAACCATATAGGAATAATAAGCGAAAGTATCACTGAAAACGACAATCGTAATTTTTTTAAAAGAATGCGAAAATTCAATGATATAATTTAGTTCAGATAGCAATTACATTCATCGTACGGATGAACAAAGATAGTGCTAGAGTTCCTAAATTTCATTCACATTACTGCAAAATATGTTCACAGCAAAAAAGGCAACAAGCAGCAACCCATAGCAACAAATAAAACATCAAAGAAATGAATTACTGGCTAAATAATAAATTTACAGCAAAAGGATGCAATCGTTACCCTTCAATAAGTCTATCGAATATCTGTCGAAATGTCTTGGCACCATCACGCAAGCATTCATCTACTTCTCGTATTTTTTTAATCTCATCTTGAATAACATCATTGTAAAACTTCCCATAATTCGAGTTCATTTCCATTTCCATATCAATGGAATTCTCTGTAGATGCTTCAGCTTCTTCTGCTTTCCCATTAATTGATTTCACCATAAACTGTGCACTCTTACTGCTGTTAACCAATTTTGTGTCGCATTTTTGATTTGGACTGCCGCTAAACTTTTCGGCAATTTCTGGATTGTTAACACGTTCCACTTCGATCACTGCAGTTGTATGGTTACTACTGAACATTGGAGATTTATTCGTTGCTTTATGTGAACAATCATGCAAACTCTAGTAATTTCTGCGACTCTAAAATAACACATACAATTGCGGTCCTTTAGCACACATTGATATTTTTCAAGCATTCTGTCCATCCTTCCTGTTTCTCCAACACACCATATGTTATCACAGTCATTAGCTAAAACCACTTTTGTAGCTGTCCATAGATGAGCTGCGTAGTATGCTCGATGAGCCAGAATTTTCACCTGTAAGCAAACAAGAAAATATCTTTACCATCTGAGAAATATATTTGGTAAATCCTCTTTCTTATCAAGTTTTGAAAATCTTTGTCCGATTGCAACAAGATTCAGATTTTACTATCTAGTTAATCTCGTCGACTGGATATAATAAGAGTGAATTCTTGATCCTCCAGTCTTCAGAAATTACTTATGAAATATTAACAATATTTCATGAATTATTACTGAACATTCTATACGTGTCTTTGATCTACTTTCAATTAAAGGAATTGAAAAATCAGAGTTGATCATTGCAAAAAAAGTTAATATTTCACTTTTTATATAATGATTTCTTCATATCGATAATTTCAAGTAATAAGTACAAATAACAGGAGATCAACTTACTAATGTCCCTATAGGATATCTGCTTGCCAGGTTTATTTCATTTGATACATTCTTGCTCAAGCCAAACACAGTGTGAGCAGTCCACGGTCCTCGAACTACTTGAATTTTAATGTATCCCGTGCTGACCACTGCGCTAACAACTTTACCTATACCATCCAAAACAATGCTTTTATCATATCTGAAAGTTTTCTAAGACTTTAATATAAAAATAAAGTTAAAAAACTTGAGCTGTTTCTAATAAAAGACTCCGAGGTAAAATACAATAAATAATTCCAGTACTAACTTTATTCCTAAAATCCGATTAAGAGATAATTATAATTAGTCGAACTATTACACAAATAGTATCAATGTTGATATTACTTTTAATTTTATCAACACTATCACCTTATGGTATTCTCATAAGTGGGTAAAGCTTCACGTTCCCACACTGATGGAATTTCCAAGCATAAAGAATTGAGTGCAACCGTATTGTTTCGGCGTAGAGTGAAAAACCTTCGATGTTTCTCCAAAAAATGGCATACTTTTTTTTCAGTATTTCCAACTTCGTGTACTACCTGTAAATTACATTGTGATATAAATTTATTACTTTTTACTGATTAACAAATGCTGATATTCGTTTTGTCTTTGGCACTTTACTATTTCATCTTTATCCACTATTGCGCATGTGAAGAAGTTGGCCGTTTCTGTAGATGTATCCAGAAAGAATCATCGCCAATTTCCGTAACATAAAACTAATATATCAAAACTTAGAGAAATATAATGAAATTTCATTCCTCAAACTGTTCTTCCTTAAAATGATAGTCAACATTTCTCATAGTGAGCATACTTAAAGAGCTGATTTCATTAAAACCTCTCAAGAAATGTCACAAAGAGCTAACGATTTTAAACTGCATGATCGCTTGATATACAAGTTCTACGGTACGCTCTGACTGATTAGTGTTACATAGGAGATTGACTAAATATCCGAACATTTCGCGAAATTCTTGTGAATGATTCCTGACAAGATCGAATGATACGTCAAAGACATTTGTACGCATCCCAATGAATGTTATCATATCATTCAATGTTTTGAAATTCTTTCCCTGAAATGTATCAAAAACTTAGTCACTTTCTGATGGCTATAATATTTTTCCATAAAAATCAGAATACGGCTATATTCAACGTGTACTGGATTGAAATATCCATCATTTAATAATCCAATATCTAGACTTTATTTGAAAAAAAATAGACTTGAAGTTATTACCTTGTCGATTTTAGTGACGACATTGTTCAACTGATTTAATGTCAAAGCCCCATTTTCAGCAAGGATTCGATCCAATAATACTATTTTTTTCAATTCTGTGTCAATTTGTTCGCGAGTAAAAACTGGTCTTTTACTAATATTATCCATCTGTCAGAAATAAGACTTCATTCATTTTGAAAAAATACGTGATACTTTCATATATTTATGATTGGTAAACCAGAAGGAAACAACGTAACGATGATGGAATGGGGAATGGAAAAAATACATTATGAACGCTTTCTAAAAAAAAAGTTTCATTCATTAAAAGATATGAATCAATGCTTTCAATAAATTTCACATTTCTACGCTAATAAATAACATACATGATGAATAACATAAGTAAATGATATATCGCCATATAAAAACTAGTACTGCTCATATAAATATTAAAATAATACCGAAAGGAATTAATAACGAAATTACTTTAAAATGATAAAATGACATATTGATTGCCGACATATTGATAGGTCCCATTACCATTCAAATATAAGAATTATCTTTCCATCATCTTCGCCTTTCACTCTAATTCCAATCTTTTCTCTATGTAAATCGCAACAAATTAATGCTGCTTATCTTGAAATCAGTAAAATGAAATCACCACAACTATACCTATTTTTAGTTCGTTTCTTTTCGCGCAACTGTAAAGAAAATATTCCACTCTTAATGTTCTCCGGAAATCACAATGTGCAGAAACTGAAGTTCGAAACGATAATTAATGTTATAATCTGAAGCAAACACACTCTTGAATTAGAACCACAAAGGTTGAAAATAAATTTAAAAACGTAACCAACAATTTCATAATTCATTGCATTGTTCATTGTTGCATGCAACAAATATGAAATATGCAATCCTGCAAAATTTCCATATTAAAATTGCGGGATAGTGGGATAGTTTGAGAAGTGAAGAAGATGTATAGATAGTATGATATGTCGAGTTAGAAGTGAAAAGGATAACTGATATAGTACATAACGAGACGAGGGAAACAAATAAAGAAAATTGAAAAGATGTGAGAGGGAATGCTTTAATTGGTTTTAACCGATAATTAATTATAAGCAGTGATTTAGTATTAATTTAGCAGTGCCTTATCGAATTTGTGATTGAATATTTTGTTTAAAGCCCTAAATTGGTTCTGATTTTAAGATATTTGCCAAGTGAATAAACCGGAAATATTTAAAATAATGAACATTTATTTGAAGTATATCGATATTTGAAGACGATTGCTTATAATGCATGCACTGAATTTTCTTCTCATCACTGAATGAAACCGTTTTTTGATTTCGCTATTGCTACGATATCGTTTTCCAAAACATTCCAATTTACAAATACAAACAGTTTCCAATAATATATTAATTCCATTTTAAAGAGTCAAAACACTTCCATGTTTGGGCAATTTTACGGGTAGTTAATTGCACAAAGTACAGTTTCATTAAGCAAAATATTAAGCAATAACTTTTCATTCAATTTATTTCACTTTAATTTTTTTTACGTCGTTTTTTTTTCAGTATAATATCATCAAGCTATTTTCATTTTTTTAAAAAGAATTATTTCAAAATTAAAGGATATCGTTTTTTGTTTTATTTCAAGTTCAAAATTGTGATGTGAATGTATTTTAATTTTTGGAACTCTGAAAAGCAAAAACAGTTTCAGTATTTTGAAATTTATCACAATCATGATAATTAAAAAAGAGGCGCTAAAACTTATTTCACATTGGAATAAATAATCCGAGATATTCTTCATATTAGGGAATGTAAACATCATTACTGGACGATATGATAAATATATATAATTCAAATAACTTCAATATTTTTAATTTCATTCAAATGCTATGAATTGTTGGAAATTCCGAAACTATTTTTCTAAATTAAACTCTTCTATCTCAATTAAACTCTTCTATAAGAGCTAAGCCATTTACTCTTCTATCAGAGCTAAGCCATTTAAACTACCTGCAATGCCAAATCTCCCAGAAACACGAGTGATACGATCGAGAACCTTTGAAAAGGTTGGTCTAAATACCTAGGCCCTCTTTCAATCAAATCTGATAATGGAATAGCCAAAAGGTGGATAGCTCTTTTCTGATAATGATAACCATTCAATCAGGGATAACAGATTATTACGATTTTGACAGCTTAACTTTGACAATTCGTTCATTTGTT